CCACATCTGCCCTCAGAGCAATCCAGGTGGAGGATCAAATGTGCAAGTCACGAGGCCCTCTGCAGCCCCTGGTGGAGTGCTGGGAATGACCGGGCAGAGTCTAAGGGAAAGACTGAAAGAAATGGTGCTCTACATGTGTCCAGACTGTAGTAGGGCATGATCAAAACAGGATGGTTTTCTCATTAAAAATGAATAAAAAATAATAAAACAAGAAAGACGGGACTGTCCCCCTTCCAGCAGAAAAGGTGCTGTGCCTGGGAACAGGTGCAGACACAGGGCAGGAGGCCAGGGTGCGGGAGATCCTTCTTATTTTCCTACCCCTCTGTAATTCAGTTCACTGCTCCACCTTCCAACCAGCAGCTCCTCCAGTGGCTTCCGATGGCTTCATGCCAAGCTCTTGGACAGCCGGGACTGTGCTCTTGCTTTCATCCTATCTGTCCGGCCCCCACCTGCTCCCAGCCTGCACCACTTTCACCTGCTGCGTGGGGCTTCCATGCGCTTGGCTCCACCTCCACAAACGGGGGGTGGAGCTGCTGTTCTGTCAACGTCACCCATTTTGCCTGGCACCTCTCGTGCCAACCTGCTATCCCCCAAATGAGGCTCCCTCTTTTCTGAATGCATTTTTAACAGAAAGATAATGGTAGCCTATAAGGGTGGAATACAATGTGATGCGTCAACTTATGCATACTTGTAGAAAGGATCCAGACAGTTCACATAGCTCTCATCTCACTGGCTTATGATACTTTGTGAGGAGATGCTAAATGCCACTTTTGGCAAGTGCAGCATGACCCGCTGTGCATACCACCCAATGCGGTGTGCCCCAATCTCATTCCGGAAGCCTCAGCTGAGACTTCGGTCCCTTGGACCAGCACCTTCCCTCTGCCTTCTCTCCCCTCGCTGTCGAGCCTCTGGAAACAGCCACCGTCCTCTCTGTCTCCATGAGAGTCCATACATAAGCACGACTACACACAGCGTGAGTCTTCCTGAGGCTGGCTCACTTCAGGGAAGGCTTCTCCTTTTGTTCAACGCCCTGACTAACACATCAGTATTTATTTCATGTTGTGCCATTCTTTCTAATTATGACTCTTTCTACTCAGATCTTACTCTTTCTACTCAGTTTCAGTAGATGAGGTTTCTCATCTGTGAATCCCGAGGGGATGTTAGCTGCACAAAGATACAGAGCTCAGTTCTGTGGACATGCTGTTCCCAGCTCCAGGGGAGGAGCAGGGCTTGTGCCATGGCACAGCGCCAGTGCTCTACACCTGCTGCTGGCAGGGTGTCCGTGTCCTTCCAACACTCACACCCGATTGATCCTACACGGGAGGGGGTTGAGAAGCGGTCCTCAGGAGGCAATCGGGGATGTGCAATTACTGCTTTTATATAAGGCTCCAGAGTGGTCTCTTGCCCCTCTAATGGTACTTGAAGACACAGTGCAAAGCCAGTCATCCACAAGGAGAAAGGTCTCCAATGGACGTGCAGTGGGCTGGCAATTTGAACCTGAACTTCACAGATCCCAGAGCTTTGAAGAAAACTGCATGTTGCTTCTAAGTAACCTAATTTATGGCTCTCTGTTTTAGCAGCCCAAACAAACTAAGACAACACTGACAGTGTCTTCAACAGTCATTCACACAGTCCATTCTGTTCTTTCTCCCATCTTCATTGACTAATGGAAGAGAAGGCTCTTCTGGGTCCTCTAATGGGGGCACTAAAGCCACTCTTGAGGATGCTGCCCCAAGACCAAGCACCCAGAGGCTGCAGCCCCTAATGCAATCACCTTTAGGGTAGACTTCAACACATGAATGGGGGGGGGTGAAAACCAGGCAGACACGTCCACAGTCAAGGTTAGTGAAGCACCTACAGGACTGTGTGCACAATCTGAACTCAGACACAACACTGATGAAACATCACCATGTTTCTGGGGTCTTACAGGTGACCCTTTCCCATACTCTCAGAAACCTGAGTCCTACATGACACGAGCTTGTGCCTGGCCACTCATTGTGCTGGGAACAAAGAATTGAGTGGCTGAGCCACACACCTGCACTCTCTGAACCCCTGCTGCTGCCTGCAGGTGCCCCGCTGGGTGCATGTGAGGAAACCAGGACATTTTCATAACCACAGATGTTAGCTCACGACTTAGCCTAATCATGACTGCGTCACTCCACAAGTCAGTGAACAAAGGAACTCTCATTTTCCTCTTTCTCAAAATAGTTTTGATGTTTTTCATCCCTTGTTTCCAAATAGGAGCCACATCATTATTTCAAAGGAATTTCCTTAAATTATAGAGGGATGATGAGGAAATGTCTCTCTATGAGCTTTGGGTAGCTGCAACATTCGCTTGAATTCTTGAGAGGAGAGGAAATAATAACAGAAGTAGCAGAAATGTCTGCGGGTTCACTTCTACACTGAGGCCACATATTTGCATTCCTTTGTCTCCTAAGAGCAGAGAACTGTTGACCTGGGTGACTTCAAGCTCATAGTACTACTGCATAGGGCCTCTGCGTGCTCAGATGGCAGGGCATACCTGAATGAGTCGGTCAGCATCTACTTTTAGTAAATCCAAAAAGTAGAAGAAGAAAAGCATATTTCTGGATACTATTTCTTCTCTTAAAATTAATATACCTTGACAGGAATCGTGGAAACTGGAAAAAAGCCAACGTCCATATAGTTTTCCAGTTTTTGGACAATGGTCCACAAATATGATGCCCAAACAAAATCCTTCTAGTGATTTTGAATACTATAGTAATAATATTAAAAGCAAATGTTCATTAGCAGTCAACCTAAGAATCAAGCCAAGTCTATCATCGAAATATCAAGCAAATAAAAAGAAATCTGGCATGGCAGCTTAAAATGTCTATGAAGCTCCAGAAGTGTTCCTGTAGATTTTCTAGTCTTATTTCATGTCTCTGAGTGTAAAAAGCCAGGAAGTCCAGCTGGGCAAGATTCTCAGTTTTGAATGAGATACAGGATTTAAATGCAGGGTGCTGTGGCTATCAGGGGAGAAAATGTAATGTTGAGAACTTAGGTTGTTTTGCTGAAAACAAGGAAACAATCAGATATGTTCCCCAAAAAGAGTATATTTCTGTTCTGCTGGCAAATGTGGAAAGAAATGTTTTTAAACAGAGGTACATTGTGCAGTCACGTGACCTATCTGCCCCTTTACTCAACAGAACCATGTACAGGTGCTCAGGGGCCAGGGGAGCAATGTGTGGAAGGTGAAATTTCAACAGAGATGAGGAAGACATAAAAGATAAACAACAGATACAATGGTGTTAATACAGTAGTAACTGAACTGAAAATTTTACTGAATAAATCTGATGGCAGACTAGATGCAATGGAAGGAGGACAAATGAGCATGAACACGGGTAACTGAAAATTATTTTCTCAGAAACAGAATGAAAGGGGCTGGCGAGATAGCTCAGCCGTCTAAAGCGCCTACTTAGGCGAGTGCAGGCACCACGGTTCGATCTCCGGCACCACATGTCATGGCAGCCCCACCCCCAGGGTGTGCTGAGCCAGCCACAGAGTCCGGGTGTAGTGGCGCACATCTGTAATCCCAGCGCTGGGGAGGCTGAGTCTGAGCGCGTAGTGAGACCCTGCAACAACCAAAGGCATTAGAAACAGACAGAAACAGAATAAAAGAGTAAAGAAAGAAGTATTCAATGTTAATGTGTATGATGAACTTTCAGAAGAATAGAGAAGGGACAGGAGAGTACATCCAAAAAATTAGTTGCTGGAAACTTCTCGATCTGGGGAAGGAAAAGTGCAATCAGATCCAGACAGGATCCCCAAAAAGCAAAACTCAAAGAAATTCACACCAGGACACGCTTTAAACTAATTCTCGAATGTCAGAGATGAAGAGGGAAATTTGAAAAGAGCAAGGGAAAAGGGACTTGTTACTCAGTCCTCACGTAACTGGACCAGAAGTGGACTTGTTATCAGAGGCCCTGCGGTGGGAGGATCTTCTCAAAGCCCTGCAATGGGCTTACTAACTTCCTTCACAGGTGCTTATTGAACGAAGAAGAGATCCAGGATTCAACCTACATAGATCATGTGCTTAATTCAAAAAACACAATTTGTTTTTCAAAATGACACCTTCAGACCAAGTGCACTGGCAAATGACTGTACTCTCAGCTACTTGAGAGGGCAAGAAAGGAGAATCACAAGTTCTAATCCAGCCTAGGTGGCTTTATGAGCCCTGCCTCAAAGTAAAAATCAAAAGAGTTGGGGGGATGTGTATAGATCGGTGACAGAGTACTTGCCGAGGATGCTGGGGCCCTGGAAGCAGAGGGGAGGAAAGGGAGGGTGACATAGTGAGAGTGCACCAAAGAGAGAAAGAAGAGAAGACCAATGGAAACCCTTTCCAAGTAGACCGTCCTGCAGAAGAGGCAGGTGCCGCAGTCATCGGGGGCCACTGCCACCACCACCAGCTGGGATGGCTGAGTCCCAAGAATGTCAGCTAGGCCTGGGCACATGTACTGACATTCTTTGATGTGAATAATCTGCTCAAGGAACACAGGTTTTTCATAGGCTGGATGTTCCAGGTAGGCAGTGACTGGCACATGACCAACAAGGTCCGCGCTCTTCTGAAATGTTCTGGAGGAAGTAAGTCAATGTGCTGTTGAGCATAGTGCAGTGCGGGAGTCACACATGGGCTCTGAGCTGAGGGCTGGGCGCCCCCGGGGGAGGTAACCTGGGAGACCTGAAGACCTGAGGTGAATAAAGGCGGGACTTTCAGGCAAAGGTCTGAGGAGAACCCCTTATGAGGAGAACATTCTGGATTGTTCCAAAGCTCCCTCACATCAATTTATTGATCTGTGATACATGTCAAGCAGGCTCTAGCATCATCGTTTCAGACACAAAACCCCAGGGAGGGAAGGACAAACCACTGCACAGTCTTCTCAGAGAGACCACACTGTATCACGCAGAACCAAGTTCCTCTGAAGCAATGTGGCTCGGATCCCCAAAGAACACCCTGGGTCTCCCTTGGGAAAATGACTTACAGCTGCCAAACTTCAGAGGGCAGGCGTGGGCATCCATCGGGAAGTCTTCAAGTTGCATGGGGCACTCGGCGGAGATGGTCAAGCTGAAAAACAGGAGATCTGCAAATGACTCACAGGCGGGCTGGCCAGAACAGCCATCTGGTCCCAGAAAGCCACACAAACACTTTCATCAACTACGGTTTACAACATTTCTTAAAGCACTTGGGCTAAGTTCCATCAAGCTTGTGTTGTAGATGACTATCATTCAGATACGAGACTAGAGATGTTGGATCTGCTCAGATCTGTGGTCCAGGGTGTGTGTGCCTGGCCATACCTTGCTGCTTGTAAAACTGTTTAAGGTGCCATTAAAGCTCTTTCTTCTTCGTTTCCTGTCTCTTATTCCCACCTAGAAAGGCTAAAAAGGCCAAAAAGATGTGCAGGTCCTAATGCAGCTTATAAGCTCGACAAAGGTAAACGCACAAACGTTTTTCAGAACCTGGCTGCACGCACTGGGGAATGGCTGGCACGAGACTGTGGCCTGAGTCTGCCTCACAGTGGCCCGTGCATGACCCAAACTTTATTTTTTAATTCAAAAAACAGTAGCACCCTCACCCTCACCCATCACGTCATTGCCAGGTGTGACACTGATGGTAGTGTGCACTGTGCCTCCCCCCACTAGCTCACATACTCCTGGTGGTGAGATGACACTTGCTGCTGTGACCGGCCCAGGTTGTGAAGCAGAAAAGCTAGGCTTGGAGAGGACAGTCAGGAATCAGGCCCACAGTGCATGGAGCCACGCATGGGGCCCATGGCAGGCCCGTGGCCACAGAGGGTCCCAAAGGCCCGGCCACTTGGCACCCGGCACTGGGCTGTGCACGCGGGGCACCGGTGCCTTTGCTGCTGTCATGGGCTACAGGCCTGGGGTGTCGGCCTGAAAGGCTTGTGTGCTAGCAGCTCACTTCCCAGTGTGGCCAGTGGGACTGCTAGGAGAACTAAGATCCGCCCGAGCAGAAGACACCTATAGGAGCTGTGGCAGGACCTTCCCCAGAGGACTGTGGCCAGGCCCTCCCGAAGGAATGCAGCAGAGGAGGAGTCTTCCCAGAATCAAACCAAACAACTGGGCTCTGTTAGTTCCCACACGCGCACTATGTAGTTCTAGCACTGCTCTATAACGCAGATTTCACCAAATCAGGCTGTAAAATTTATGGGAGACAAAGACCCAGAAATTGTGTAACAGGCACAGCCATGCCCTGCTCAGGTTCAGCCTTTGGGGCGGCAGCGCCCTGAGCCTCTGGCAGTGCGCACAAATACTACTTCCTGGAAAAATCCTGGGCGCCCTGCTGCTTTGGCCAGAATCCTGCTATAGCTCTTGGGAGTTGGCTCGGGATCTGGAGGGTCAGAGACGATGCATTCCACCTCTGCCATTAGGACCTTGAACCTCAGAGCCGCAGAAGATACAAACTCTCCTGGTGCCGGTGGGCTGTTTGATCCACAGGGGCAGGGTGCTCCCAGGACACAGAGCAGAACCCCGTGGGGCTCAGGAGCTAGCTTGGGGAGCACCGCCTGTCAGACTTGTAAGAGGTCGGGTTCGTCCTGGTTACCTGCCCCTCAGAGGCAGAAGGGGACTCTGGTCACTGCCCACAGTCAGCATGGCCTGAGGAAGGGTCACTGGAACCAAAACCACCACCTAAGGCACTGGCCCTGGGAGCTGGCTTCTGGGCTGCTGGCTGGCATCATGGTGGGACTACACGTGTCTGAGGCAGGCCACAGAAAGGTTTGACCCAATGAAAATGTCCTTAAGAGGCAGAGAGGACTGAAATAGCTGGGCAACTCTGTGCAGGAGCCAGGGCAATAGAAGTTACTCTGTCCCTGAGCCAGGACAGTCTGGGAGAAATGGGCAACCTGAGGGGAGGTTGAGACAATTTAGATAAAATCAAAACTAACCAAAGACAAAATATACTGACATAGGAGATGGAGCTCTGGACAAACAGGATGGAAAGCAAATATGCCACCCAATCAGGACAGATTAGGGATGTCAGGGGCTCTGGGAGCAAGATGCCCCACTAGTCCTCTGGGACTGATGTTAAGGATGTAAAGTGAAGACTCACAGATGAAGAGCAAAAGAACTGAATGATGAAACATGGCTATTTAACTCCGCCACGAACACATTCTCACGCCACATGTTTTCTGGCCAAAATGTGGATCCAGTGAAGACTGTGTTCATCAACAGTTGAGTGAATTTGTTAATCATAAAGATCCTGGTCTCAAAAGGAAATAAATTATGTCCTGTGTTGGCAACAAGAATCAACTGCCCTTTTCCCCGACAAACTCAAAGCGTTCACAGAAACCAAAGGCACCATTCACGGGCCCCTCCTCCACATGGGGCCCTCGGGAGCCCACACCCCAGGAGCTGGCAGCTCTGCCCAACAGGGGCTGGGGCCAGCTGAGGAGGACCTGGTCCCTGGTGCAGCAGCTGCAGCTGCACAAGGGGCAACAGCTCAGAAGGTGCCAAAAAGTTGTCTGGAGTCTTCTGTGTGCCCAAAGACTAAAGAGGGAGCTCAATCCCTCTTTCCCTTGAGGGAAGTTCCTTTGGGTAAGGACAGGAAAAATCAGGTTACAAACCTCAGCTAATTGCTAAGTTGATCTTTGGCTTTCCGTTTAAATAGGTATTTTTGTTGAATTAATATACCTAAACATTTCTTGGGGATTATAAATTTTTTAAGCTGTAATCACAGGGTTAACTTGCTCTTCTCTCTGCTTCCTGCTGCTGCTAAGAACACGAGGGCAAGACTACGTGGAAGCCCACTGGTGGCCAGTCAAGCTTAGAGCTGTAACAATCTCAGGCCAAGAGAGAGAAAAGAAGAAATCAACAGCTAGGGGCGCAATGTGATGCTCAGACAAAAAATACAGTTTCTTCCAGACAAAAGGAAAGTACTTCCACGAAGAGCGCCTAACTCGCCTGATCTGAGCGTCCGAGAGGAGGTGGGCCGTTGGCCATGCAGGTCCAGCAGTTCCTCGGGGCCCCAGCTTCTGTAGAATTTGGACACCCCTAGCTTCTCGGTTTTGGAAAAAGTCCCTCCTGAAGTGGGGAGAACGGGAGCCTCTAGGATGGGAACAGGTACAACCAAGTACTTGCAAAGCGCGCAAACAGGCCTGCGGCAAGCACCTCACTAGGACTTCTAGACATGCTCAGCCCGTCTCCTGTAGGGCCGCAGGGTGCCAACATGGCGTGGGGGTCTTAAGCCAGATGCTGGGGTCATGGCATCCGGCTGTGGCATACTTCCCCAAACAACTCGACTGTCACCCAGGGCTGGTCTCCTGTTCGCAAGTGCTTGCAGCTAGGCCGCCCTGGGTATCAGAGGCTGACAAAATGACCACAGCAGAATAGGATCCTAACTACTCACGACATGACCATCCTGGGTTTAAGGTGCAGCATGGGAGTGACCTCCCAGGCGGAGGATGGCCATGTGACCGCAGCAGGTTACCGTCTCCCAGGCAGCGCTCAGATTCACCACAACAGGGTAAAGTGGTGTCTCAGAACTGCGCGTGTGTCCCCAGTCCACGGGCATGTGTAAGCTGGGTGCAGAGGAAGCCACCTCAATCCCAGAGACATGACCCAGAGACAGCAGCCCTGCTCCTGTCGCTCCGGAGGCTGACTTGGGCACCCAGGGCACCAGCTGGTGACGCTAAGTGCCCGTGTCTTTTTGTGGCTGGCTTGCCTACTGAGCACTGACGATTGTCCCTAACTGCCCTGTTTTTTACTATAACCTTTCCTGAGACCTCCCGGCTGACTGCAAAAGTAGCCACAGGTGCCTGCTGGCCCTTGTCTTTCTCTAGGGGTAGGGCATCCTGCTGGTATTGCTTATTTTTCCCAGGGGCCCACTGGTAGGCCTGAGCTTCCCATGCATTCGCATAGCCAGGTCAAGCCAGAAAGGTATCTGGACTTTGCGACTCTGGCTTCTCACACCAAGGAAAGGCCCAAAGATCTGCACACAGAAAATGCCAAACTATTCGACTGCCAAATGAGAGTCAATACAATTGCTTTGAGCCCCCAGCACTCCCCCAGCAAGGGCTGATTAGATGTCTGATCCTATTGCGAAAGAGGGGTCTTGGTTGGCGTGACACAAATTACTAACCCAACACGACCAGGGTCCGTTCAATTCAGTGTGTGTGTGGTTGTAGGCATCAGCCCTAGGCATGTGTCATGTGAAGACATGGGCACTGGCTGCAGAGGGTCCCTGGACACCGGCTATACCATGTGCAGGCCCAGATTTGAAGCAAAAAACCCCCACCGGCCCAACAGTGTGTGTGTGAGGAAAACAGTTTGCGTAGCTGTATTCCTGAGGTCTTAGGGCCCAGTCGGAGCTGTTCCATAGGCTATCTGGAACAAGAAGACACAGCAGCCCTCCACCAGAAGGGAGCTGCCACGCTCGACTGTCAGTCACAGGCCTGTAATCCAGGACGTTTCGCCATCATTAATCCAGGAGATTCCAGATAGCAATGGGGCATCTGAGTTGGCATCTGGGTCCATGGAGAGGGGAAGACCCAGGGACTGTGTTATCTTTAAAGAAATTCACCATCACCTACTAAACATGTCCCCCCTGATCTTACGTTCTTTTTATGAAGAAATAAAAGGTAGTGTTCATCCCGTCTGAGTCACAACCAGAAATTTGTCCCCAGCCTCTAAAGAGCTTGTCCTGCTATGTGCGTGGGGAGCCACCAGGGGGCGTGATGCTCACGGCGAGCTAGAAAATAAGACTGCCAGGAATCTTAGGTGGAACAGAGTACCGCAACCCCGGCTCTGGCATTTGGCTGCTCAAGACAGTGGTCACTGGAAAGCACTACCTTGGCCTGTGAGGAAAAGCTTCACCGTCCTTCTGGGGAGTGTAGGCTGCCCAGGCAAAGGTTTTATAACTTAGTTACGAAGGAAATCTAGTGGTGGGGGTCTCTAGGTTATCTTGATCCTGTTCCCCATCCCTTGTGTAACTTCGCCTCTTTGAGAAACTTGGGACAGGCTTGGCACAGCCACTGGATGGTGGCTCCAAGTGGCGCCTGTACTGGAGACATGGAAGAACAGCCTGCAGCGTCCCCTCAGCTGGTCAGG